GAGCGCCTTTGGGCAGGAGGCTTCCTGGCAGAGTGGGGTGTCACGGGGAACTTGGCGGAACTAGGCCCATTGACCCACAGAGCAAGAGAGCTGAGAGCCTTGGGCAGGAGGCTTCCTGGCCTAGTAGGGTGCCTTCGGGCACTTGTTGGCGGAGTTAGGCTTGTCCTGGAGCAAGAGAGCTGAGCGCCTTTGAGCAGGAGGCTTACTGGTGGAGTAAGGTGCCCCTGGGCACTTACTGATGGTGCTAAAGGGCTTTGTAACAGTTGCCTGAACCGGGCAGAGGCCAGGCCAAGGGGCTGAGAGGCTAAGGGCCAGAGAGAGGCGTGCGTGTGGACACGGCTGAGAAGAGGCTGTCCTGATCGAAAACCTGTATCCTGAGTCATCCATTATCCTGAATTGTAACCTGTTACTTTTCTAGTAAATACCATAACTCAGTATGGTCTGTGAGTTCTTTGTGGCCATTGTAATGCATTATCGAACCTAGCAGAGAAGTAGACAGTTCCGTGGGAGGGATGGCTGGTATCAGAATTGGTAAAAAAGTTGGATGGAGGGTGGAGGTATGTTGGATTTCTGCCTCATAGGAATCAGATGGGCTGTTAATCTTGATTCTCCTTCCCCCTTGTGACGCTGGAAGAGGTCGGAGGCCTCCACCACACCATTTTTACACCAAAATTAAGAAAGTAATTGCATTTTGAATACCTGAGATTAGTAAAGGTGCCCTCCGTCTTAAACACAATTCTAGAATGAGTTATTAAAAGGACATCTTAAGAGCATTAAGATAAGAGAGTGGTGATTGGAATCAGAATGAGCTGGCTAAGAACAAATTGTTTCGAGTTTATCTCACTTCCTTTCTGAGTAGAATTTGTAGACACATCAGAATAATAGAACTATACACATTACTTTAGCAAAATATCTGAGAAATGAGAAAATCGTTGGGTTGGTTGATGTTAATGAGAGTTGTCATTTGTTAAGAGCTGTGAATTCAGCTGATTACTGAGAGATGATAGCTGTAAAAATGGCATGGGGACGGCCCCTGACCTCCTCTGTCTTCACAAGAGGGAAGGAGAATCAAGGTCAACAGCCCGCTGATTCCTGTGAGGCAGAGGTCAGACACGCCTCCTCCTCTCTCTGGCGTCTTTACCAATTCTGACACAAACCGTCCCTTCTACAACACTCTCTGCTTCTCTGCTGGGTTCAATAATTGATTGCAAAACCACACAGAACTCACAGACAATACTTAGGGTTATGGGGTTTATTCGGGAAGTAACAGGTTACAATTCATGTTCAGGAATGCTCAGGATACGTTTCTTACATCAGGACGGCCTCTTGCCAGCCATGCTGCAGGCACACTTTTCCCTGGCCCTGGGCCTCTGTGCTGCTCAGGCAAGTGTTACAAAGCTGTTTTAGCTCTGCTAATAAGTGCCCAGAGGCACTCCACTCTGCCAGCAAGCCTCTTGCCCAAAGGCACTCAGCTTTCTTGCTCTATGTGCCAGGAAGCCCACCACACCACACCATCTCCCGCTGTCGTTTCTCTGCCACCGCTTCTCACCTGTTAACAGCTGTCTCTCCGTCTTCTGATTCCAGAAGTTTCTCAGCACAGGGGTACCTGTTATAGCTCTCTGTCTCTCGGTCTTCTGATTCCAGGAGCTTCTCAGCACAAGGATCCTGGGTCCAAAGGACTTGCTCTCCGCTCCAGGCTGTTCTACCTTAGTGGTGGCGGGATCCTCTCTCTGCTCTGGAATTTGCTCTATTTTAAGACAAAACTGACCAATCCCAGTGGTGGGCCACAGTTACCCTCTTTGCAAAGTCCCACCCAATCACCTGGGTGGGAGTTACAAGACCATGACAAGAAAGGCCACACAAAAGCCATCCGTTGCACGGCAGTAGCTTAGAAACAATGTTCTATAATTTACGTATTATGTAAATCTGTGAAGAATGACTCCTGTTTTAAAAGAGAAAATCAAGATTTAAGTAGATCTCAGTAGGCTGAAATGATAGGCCAGAACTTAAAGGGTGGAATTTAATAAGGAAAATTATAAAATTCTGCTTTTAGATTCAGAAATGATTTGCACAAGCATAGGATGGGGGTCAGTATTGGTCACAGCTGTTTATATGAGAGAGAGGTGAAAATGTTTAGGTAACTGCTTTTACACCAACAGATCAGATTTAAACAGGCTACCATTATTGTCTTACTGCAGAAACACAAATGTCATTTTAAGATGAATTAATGCAAAATAACCTCCAGCTTAAGGGTGCCAGTTTGTTGTTGTTTAACAATCCAAGTATTTATTCGCCGCCAAGTTGTGATCTAATGTTGTGACTCCACATATAGACACAAGGTCCCATCCTTAGACTTTTCTGTTTGACCTTCGTTTTATGACTGGGAGATGTACCCACAGTGGCCGTCTCCAGGTTGAGAGATAGAGTGCTTGCAGTTTGGATGAGCTCTTGATAGAATACTGTTGCCAGGAAGTCTTGTTGGCTTTCCATGGGTCTGTGTTTTGCTTTTGATGGTTAATTGTGGAAATATACACAACAAAACATATGCCAGTTCAGCATTTTCTATATGTATAAATCACTGACACTGATTACATTCTTCAAGTTGTAAAATACGATCGCCATTTTTTTCCAGATTATTCTACCACAGGGATATGTTTCTGTACAGAATGCTGCAGCAGCATTTAATGTAAAGATCCTCGTATTGTTGCTGGTGCTTCTCTGTCTCTACGCATGATAAATTAACAGAAGGTCTTTGTCCTTCAAATCCAAGGGTACTTGTTGGCCACTTGAAGATATTCTGTCCACCATTGTTTTGTTACGCAGGTAGTCTGGAGCATTCTCTGTGTTGAAATCCCTCAGGTCTCTCAGAATCGGGGCTTACAGCTGGTAACTTTCACGCTCACTTACGTTTTCGGGTTTTCACTCAAACTGGTTATTCACCCGAAAGGGCTCTGTATCTTTCTTAAGACTGACTTGTTGGTATAAAATTAGTTTCCAGCTTGGAACCCTGGTGGCACAATGGTTAAGAGCTTGGCTGCTAACAAAGAGGTCGGCAGTTCGAATCTACCAGCTGCTCCTTGGAAACCCTGTGGGGTAGTTCTCTGCCCTGTAGGGTCACTGTGAGTAGGAATTGACTCGTCGGCAATGGGTTTTCCTTTACAGTGGTCATGGCTACTGCATTTTGAGTGATAAAGTATTTTGACAGACAGAAGCATTCTGGACTCACTTTTTAAAATTTTATGTAAGTTCTTAGTGGTAAAAATTACATTAGTAGTAAGACTAGGTTTTGTAATCAGATTTTTTGAAAATTATTAATGCTTAATAATTTAAACTTTTTTTTTTTTGGTCATTTTCAGGGAATCTGGGAAAAACTGCAAAGTCTATACCTTTAGTAAGGACGGGACCTTGTTTGCCTGGGGCAACGGAGAAAAGTTGGTATTCATTTACATGCTGTTGTATTTTATGTGTGTATGTCATGAATATAAAATATGAGCTGGCATTTGAATAACTTGTATTTGGATATCATAAATACAGCCCATCTTTTAATGTCATGATATAGTTAGATATCATCTCTAGCACAACGTCCATTTAGCACACCTCCCGAGCTGTTAGTTTCTGTTTATGTACCATGGTTTGAGTTATCTGGTATCTTAGGATGAAAAATTAATACATGACAGAAAGGGCAGTTGATGTAGTGCTTTTTCTTTTTCCCGTGAAGAAGCTGAGAGATTTTTTTAAACAGTGCTCCAGCTTACTGTTCAGGGTTTCATGAATTCTGCACTAATGCGTAGAGAGTAATTCTCTGCCTGTTTGCCTTTGATTTAGATACTTCTTATCTTTGCCGTTAAGTAACTGAACTACCTGAGGTTATTACTGTTAGTTTTATTGTATATAAAAGTATATCATCGAAGTGTATTTACTCAAAAGAACATTTAGTATAATCTACATTACATAAGCTATATTATAAAATTGGTCTTGCGAAACAAGTATTTTGATTAGATACTTAAAATTTCACTAAGAAAAGGGTCCTTTTTAGCTTTTCCACGCGTCTTCAGTTCACAAAAACCGGAAAATTCTCAAATATTGGTTGCTTGGTTTAAAGTTATTTTTGTTGTTTTTAACCAGATATAAATAACATGGTTAGGTTTTTTAAAAGGGGGAAAGTATATACATTAGTTTGAAAAGTCTTTTTAAAATGTTATTCTCTACACAGTGGTATTCTGAAGTCTACCAACTATCAGGTCAGTTTGGATTAAACACATGATTTTTTAAAAATTAACTTAAAAAGAGTGTGTTCAACTAGTTGATTTACCTTTTATGACTACAAATAGCTTTTTTAATGAAAAAGTTAGTAGTTTTTTAATTTTTTTTTAAGTTACTGAATCCAACCAATAAACTACTTATCTCTAATTATTAAAAATATAAGCATATTGGGTCTTATCCACAGTTCTAACAGACCAGTCTTAATCATCTCAGCCTCAAGTTGAGGGTTTACTTCAAATTTTTTTATTTCTCTTGGTGAGTAGTTGAAGTGTTTTTGTTTGTTTTTAATCCATGTTTTAGTTTATACTATTTCTTTGAGTAATGAGTTAATAGAAATTTACTATCTCATGGGATATACCATACTTCTTTTCATTGTTTATTATCTTTTGAGGTACCTCTTATTTAAATAGCTTAGAGTTTGTTGAATAAGTCTATTTTCACCTTGTCAATTAGTAGTAAGAATTATATACGTCATTCATATCCACACTTAGCCTTCTATTTGGACTTGGCTCTGAATCTTTTTAATATAGCCCCATATGTCATGCCCATCATTTTAATAGCTATTTTCTGTAGCTGGTTCTAGCACTTATTTCTTAAAGTGTGGTGACCACACTGATATATATTGTTTAGGGGAGGCAAGTGTATCAGATGTAGTATATTGATTGTCATCTTCGGGGAATTAGTGGTTAACTAAGGCAGAAACTAGAACTGATTTTTCTCCTTAAGTATGTATAGATACGTATATGCATGTATATATGCGTATATATTTGTATATTTTAAACTAAAATAAATTCTTTTCATTAAACTAACTGTTAAAGTTTATCAGCAACAACAACAGAAAAAAAACAAAACAAGAAAGCTTTAGTTAATCCTAACGTTTAACTTAAAGTAAGTTGTATAGAATCTCGTGTGTGTGTGTGTGTGTGTGTGTGTGTGTGTGTGTGTATAAACAATATGTAGTGATCTTTTATTTGTACCAGTTACTGCTCGTCAGAATACTGGTGGTCTCCTCAAACTTGAATGGAACAAAGTTATTTAAACAGTTACTTGAATTGGATGGTGTCTTTTTTTTTTTTTTTTTTAACCCCAAAGAGTTTAGTGTAGTGCATAAAAGTCAGTCAGGTCAGACTGATTTCAAAGCTTGGCTCTGGCCATCTGCCAATAGTGTCATCTTGGGCAAATCACATAATATTTCTAAGCCTCAGTTTTACCATTTCTGTAATTAAAAAAAAAACTGTTGCCATCGAGTCAATTCTGACTCATAGCAGCCCTATAGGACATAGTGGAACTGCCCCATAGGATTTCCAAGGCTGTACTCTTTACAGAAAGGAGCTCCGGTGGTGCAGTGGTTAAGTGCTTGGCTGCTAACCAAAAGGTTGGTGGTTTGAACTCACCAGCCACTCCACGGAAGAAAGGTGTGGCAGTCTGCTTCCATAAAGATTATAGCCTTGGAAACCCTGTCGGGCAGTTCTACCCTGTTCTGTAGGGTCGCTATGAGTTGGAATCGACTGAGTGGCGTTGGGTTAATCTTTACCAGAAGCACTTCACCAGTAAGTGCTTCAAGTCCTCTTCACTTTCAGCAAGCTTCCATTTACTTAAACTAAAAATACATACTTTTGCTGTTTCCTTTAGCCCTTCTGCCTTCTCTTTAATTTGATATACCTCAACTCTTACATAGCTGACTTCAAGGCCTTGTCGGTTTGTTATTTTTATTTTTTGGCTGAAGGTGGAATCATTTATTGTGTCTTTCTGCTAATTATGTATTACTCTCCAATACCAACCTTGTATAGAGGCCTTTTGGTAAAATGTACACTCTTCTTAATTCAGTTATTTACTGGGTATTTTCTAGAACTAACTGAAAATTGTTTTTTGTGAAAAATGAATACTTTCAAGTAGTCTGTATTTGAAGAGAAGGATGCATGTTTGAGTTAGTGTTGTCAGTTTTAAAACAGTATTTTGCTGCTGAAGTAATTTCTTTTGAAAGCAGAGTAAATATTATCAACGTCACTAACAAAGGACTGCTGCACTCCTTCGACCTCCCAAAGGTAGTCTGCCTTGAGTTCTCACCAAAAAACACCGTCTTGGCAACGTGGCAGCCTTATACTAGTAAGTATTTTCCAGTTATAAAAATATTCTGACACGACCAATTAAATTCAGTGAAAAAAATATGAAGAAATTTTATAACCTTACATCAAGTAATTAGTCTTTATGATGGTAAATAGTGTTTGGAAGCATTTTGAATCAACAGTGAATCTTGCAGTCTCCAAATGCAATGTACTTTATGTAATTTCAAGGTATAATAAGTTAATGAAAAGATCCATTATGAGACAGAGGAAAAGAAAAACCTCAAGGGAAAATTGAGAAAGACTAGCTACTAGGTAAGAAAGATCTCTAAAGACTAAGAATACCATGACTTTTAAAAATAAAAAATGTTTTAAATAATCATTATAAGTGAAGACAAAGTACAGTAGGCACAGCGTCTAAGAGATGTGTATGACATAACAAAGACTAAGAAATCGCCATTTTCGAACACATATATAGATGTCCAGTAGTAATACATTACATGAACATTTTATATAGCTGTACTTCATAGATGGGTAATGAAATATTGGGAACTAGTACAGGAGCTTACTTTTAAGGAACATTTTCTACTAATATGGATACTAGTTCAGTTGTTAGGCTGGACACTTCCTGGTTTGTTATTCCAGGAGACACAGTTTCTAATGAGTCTTATTTGTCCATGTGAATAAAGGGAAATGGAGAATCATGATTGGTTTTATATAACTTTTTTTATTTTGGGGTGACTTACAAGACAAAGGCTTTCATGATAAGACATTTAATCCATTTGACAGCAAACCGTGTCAGACTTAATAAGCAAGAAATCTTGTAAGTATTCTTAAAGCCTATGGTAATTATTTCAGAGGTGCTAGATTTTTGCTCATCAACAGTTGGCGTGGCTTTAGTGATGGATGATGACATCCATAGTCAAGGCTAGAGGGGAGCATTGATTTAAAGCAGCCCTTTTATTTGCTCTTTATAATCTTGTTCAGTTTTTTCTAAGAATGAAATCTTTTTACAAGTGTTAGGAGACACTTACTGCAAAAAATAATTGTTTTTATTGCAGCTTCGAAAGATGGCACAGCTGGGGCACCCAACCTACAACTTTATGACGTGAAAACTGGAACATGTTTGAAGTCTTTCATCCAGAAAAAAATGCAAAATTGGTAGATAAATACTATAAAGTACTAATTATTTACAAAATACTGAAATTTAAATATCTTCTTTGTATGTTTCTCTAGTATTGATCTCAAAAATAACTTATCAGACCAAAAGCTAGATCTTTAAGGATAGTGTATGTAGAAATATTCATTTAAGCTGATAGAGTAA